ATACACTTAATCGAGGTATAATTTCCATTTGATTTTTTGCATCTTTCTAAGGCCAGGTGGTATTTTTTTATTCATCTCGAGGGAATTCAAAATTTACACCTTCTTCCCAATAATTTTTCAAAGTATTTTGGTCTAATTCTTCATTCTATTCACATAATCAAACTAATTGTGTGGTACTACGTTAAATACATCATTGTATGTTTGAATATAACTTTTTTAAATAAAGATTTTTTTTTCAAACGTACAAACAAGTGATATATTATTATGCACAGTTATTGAGTCGCTCAATTAGTTATTTACATTCTTCTTCGTAAAGTTCGCCAACGAGCTCAAGAGTAATTGATACATCACCACTTTCGTTGATAATAAAAGTAACTTGATCCCAAAGTAGCAAGAGTATACCTCTACATCTCACAGACGTGTCAGCATTTTGGGAACAAAAAATCGAATAAGCACATATGGTCTTTATACTTTTATGTTCTCTGACACGAAAACCAAGTGTGTATAAAGGCAATTTACACTACTGTAAGGGATAATTTGTAAACAAGTACAGCAATAATTTTGACATAACAATTTTTGTAAAATATAAAATGAAACTAAGTACGCAGATAATTATGTACAAAGAAATTCTCTTCAAGCGTCAACTTTAAAACGAAAAAATTCTATATTAAAGAAATTTAGGAACAAATATATCATCAAAAAAAGATGAAACAGAATACCTCATTGAATAAAAACAAAAGAGTATTTTCAGTTTTAAATAAATTTCCTTTATTTTAACATACATACATGGTGTTCAAATAAACAGCATAAAACATTAAATCAAAAGTCAAAGAAAATATAATCGTAGTTAATTTGGCATTATTATATAAGAAAAATAGTAGCATATAAAATTAAAGCAAAAATGACGCTTTGTTCCACGGACATCAAAGTGCGCAGTAATACTTGGTTAAGTATAAAGTGCACAAATTATGACTGAGTTTGAAAATACTTGATCATAATTTCTACAGTACTTAGTGAATAAAAAAAAAAATTAAGAAATCAATCTTCCTAGAAAAACAATTAACAGATAACATTTGTCTTAGTGATACGTTACACATAGATATCGCGTTCAGTAAATCATGTCTTATTGTTATGAGTGAGACATTACTAAACCATCATCACAAATAATGTTTTATTACTACTTAAATATAAATTCTCATTTTTGATAAATAATAAAAAATTGTCTTCAATAAAGTCTCAATATTTGGTTACATAAGTGGTTGATTAGACGAAACTTAATATTTATAACTAAGGCCTAGGTTTTATTGATTTCACGCGCCAATGAAAGAATTTAACAATCACCTGGTATTTCAAAAATCTTGGCACCAAAGAATTTTTTAAAATACATACTTATGTAAACCATGTAATTACCAGTAAACATGTATGCCTTATCGTAGGATAAAATATCGTGATGAATTTTCAGTACTCTAACTAGTTTCTTCCTAAATGACCTATCATAAGACCAATTTTCAAATGCTTTTAAAAGTACAGAGTGCAACAACTCGATCTCTTCAGATTTTTCAATTTTATCCATTTGTAAAAAAATTTTATCTGCCGTGTCGCTCTTCTCTAACATCTGCAATCAAAATGGTAAATGTTTTTTTCCATCCTCAGATACTTATCATAAGCAGGTGTTAATTACATGTCAAAATAATTGTTTGAAGAAAAAAAATTTTAATGACTCACCACAACTGAAGATGCATAAGATGGCCAGTTATCTCTACATGCAGTACAGTTACAGGTGAAATGATGCATTATTTTTATCGAGTTTTGTCTATCAATCGTTTCCATGTACATTGAAGCACTATAAGTAATGGATAGCTGGAATTTCAAAATTGGAAAATTGATATGTAAAAAGCATGAAAGTTTTATTTAAAAATCAGTGCCTAAATTTGAAAATTTTGTCACAAACTACCTGTTCGCCTTTTTTTATGGGTTGGACTGCATAAAAAACCATTCGCTGATCTGAAGTGATTAATCTATTCAAGTTAAAATTGCAACTATGATTAACGAGACTGCAAAATGGTAATACAGTTTCTCCAATTTCCATTTCTCCACAAGTGCTTTTTTTACATTCATCAGGAGATTTACAATTACAATTTGAACCTTCAAACTAAGAGTTTCACTTAAATTATTGTTAGTTAATGTTTGGAATCTTTTGTGATATATTAAGATTTAAACATCCAATCATTGTTTCAATTACTACAAAACAGTATTACGCTAGATGTAAATAAAAAAAACTTACGTTGAAAGTGTTACTCTGCAAAACAAGATGTAATTTTCGAATGATTTCCATGACTTGATAACTATCAACTGATCCTTGACTGTTATTTTTGATTGGGTCAAATATATTTGATTTATCTACTAGTAAGTTCACGATCTTCTCTATAGCAGCCATGGCGACCTTTTGCTCAGTTTCTTTGATTGGTCTCATTCCAGGGGATAAGTTGTAAATGCTTTTAAATTTATTGTTCTGAAATACTCCATTTTCGAAGAATCCTTCTAAAAATTCACCTAAAAGGGAAACAAGATTGATTGAATAATCTTAACATAAAGATCAGGAGAACGAAAAATTGTAAAAAGTTAAGTTTAATAACGTACCTTTAGTATGCAAATCGTTTATACTGTGTATATCTTTAATAATATTTAGCAAACCTTCGACTTTAACTGATATGATAAATATTCTAAACGCTATTTGCAATAGTTTCAAAATATGTTGAATGAGCAGTTGCTGACAAAAGTGCGTTAAGTAAAGGAGAACAATACATTCAACATCATGATACTGCAGCCAAGCTTCATCTCTGCACTTTGCCGTACAGTAAAATGCTACTGCACAAGACTTGCATGGTACCCCATTGCATGCAAACATCAAACAATGGGAGCAAACCAAGTACATCTTATCCACAGAGGGAAACTGAACAAAGCCTTTCTCAATGATGACAACCTGTCCTGGCTCTATGTCCTTGGTGGCTACGACATGTCTCCCGTATTTTTCGTTGTAGGCCAGAGTAACGCAGTCATAGGCGCAGGGGATGGTCTTGGACCTCTCACCAACTGCGTAAGACTCGATAGTTCCAATTTCTTTGTCCTCGTTTTTGACCAAAGGTTGGCTCTTTTCATCCATCAACTTCATGCACTTCATCTTGCGAGTCAGAAGCTTTACCCTCAGCTCTTCCGACTTTGTGATCTGGTAGGCCCTTTCAATGTCAACGAGACACTCCTGGTACTTGCACAAATGTAGCAGCAAAGCTGATCTGTTGGAATAAGCCAAGGCCATTTCTTCGGAGCCATCCTCAGCAAAAGCCAAGCTTTTATTATAAAAAGAAAGAATATCGAGGTGAACTTTCTTGTTATGATTTCTACTCGTGTAAAGTTTATTGCCTTCCTGGCGAGCCACCAATGATGCTTCTGCAGACTTTCTTGGCACACGTTTGTCATCGTAGCGAAAAGCTTCATTTATTAACTGGATGAGGTTCAGTGATTGCATCATTGACCAACTGATGTGGCGATTACTGTGGACACATCAATATGTACCTAGTCAAATGTTAAATTTATTCAAAATTCCAAACAAGTCGGAGGTGTGTACACATACAGGTAGTAAATATATTTTCATAGCACATGCACAAAACAATGAGGTGTAGTCAGTAGTGTACGTACTCATACTGTCAACACTAACTCATCCATGAAAATGTAACAATGAAAGAAAGAAAGAAAGAAAAACTTGTCTTGGTTTTGGGAGTCTAACTAATATTTTTTTTGCGATGAGTGGATGAAGGGGGATCAAAAAATATTAATATTTGACCCTAATGTTAGAGTTTTAAGTTAAAATTTTTTTTGCACATGTACCTTTTAATCTAGGCTCAATTTACTAAAAACTTGTAAATTATTAATATTTCTGAAAAAATTTGTATCACATACTTACTGAAGTACTCTCTTTCCAGTGTGCCAGTGTCTCTTGTTTAAAAAACTTGTATCTCTAGCGCTCTCTCCCGTGGTACGGCATAGCTATATTATACATCATCAGGCATAGGTACACATTGTAGACAGCCTTTAATTGGTCAGTGAGAGAAAATGATTTTTAATAACAAAAAAAGGATTTCAAAATGTTTTTACTGTTGCTAAACAAGTTTTACTTTTTTTTGTATGAAAACTCATTTTCATTAAAATTCAAGCAAACAAACACATACAAAAAATTGTTTATGAATAATTGTTCTTCTGAAATCACAAGAACTATAGAATTTACAATTCAGTAACTGAAATTAATGTAGGTGATTAATACACTGAATTTATTAACCAAAGCAGTAAAACGCCTTTTTTGAACTACTTTTGTTTTTGAGCCATTGGTTTAGGGTTCGGCAAAGTTAACAAAAATTATGTTTCATCAAGTTCGATGCACCACCTTAATGTTCCCAAATGAGAAGAAATGCAGGAAGAGTTTTAGGTTAAAATAATCATGAAGTGTTTTTCATAAAAAAATGAAACTTATTTCTATCCCAAAGTAATGATTAAATAAAAAGTACAATCAGAAATCAAAAAGGAAACCGTATTTTGAATAGAAAAAGTTTATTTTTTTTACAAAATACATATTAATAACCAAACCATAGGAATTTTATTGTATGGTACAAGTACAGTGAAATTATCCTGATGTCTTATAAAAGTTAAATTTCATCAGTTATTAACAATGAAAATGCTTTTCCTCTCTAGATAATATTTTTTGCAACGATAGCAATGCAAAGACATAGGCATTATATTAATTTATTTACAAACATTGGTAATAATACTTAATATTTTTATATAAACGAGAAAATAAATAATTCTTTATGATTCAAAAAGTCGATCGGTATAAAAAAAAATTATGGTAAGGGAAATCTAATTCTTACCAAATAAGTACAAAACCTTTCAAAACTATACATAGTCTATTTACTTAAACGATCACTGGTACGAAACGAGATAAAAAAAAATTAACAATCACTAGGTATGTCAAAGATCTTCACTCCCAAAACTTTTTCGTAGTGCTTTGTGATCCAAGGCCGAAGGAGAAATGAGTGTAAACAAGCTTTGTAGCCCGTCAAAGTCTCATAAACTATTTGAATCATCTTAATAATGTTAATTGTGACTGATTTGTTGGCAAATTTATCATCGTTCTTTGCAGAAAGAACAGCGTGCACCTCCTCTATCCCATCAATTTTTTCAAATTCTGACAATAGTTTTAGCTTGTTGTAATTGTCACTTAGCTGCAATAAAAATATTATTTCATAGTTGTTTTGTTAACAAAAATGGGACAAGAAAACATGGGGGTCATTCTAAACTGCCAACTAGTATCGAATGATCGAATTTGTATGTTTTCATGAGTGATTTTGTAAGGCTAGTTATTAGTAAAAAAAATTCTTTAAAAAACAACCCTCAAAGTTCACTTTCATGCTCAATGCTGGATATATGGTCTTTGTGACAGAGTAGGAGTATCCATCGAATTGAAAACTAGCTAATATTATTGTTTATTGGAAACCCCAGGGATTAGCATAAAAATGTACTTTTACGAGTTTTAATGTGTTAAATTAAAGAAATCAGTTAAAAAATTGATTTACTCACTACATTTGACATCAAGTCTGTTGACCAATTTTCTTTGCATGCTACGCAGTCGCAGATAAAGTGATGCGATTGTTTAATCTTCTGTTGTCTGTCAATTTTTTTCATACTCATTGTAGCACCATAAGAAATAAATAGCTGAGATTTTTTACATATAAAATTTATCGATGAAGTTTATTAAAAATTGATAAATATTTTATTAAATAATGTAAAAGTAGTCAAATAGACATGCATTACCTGTTCTCCTTTTTTTATTGGCTGCACGGTAAAAATAAAAATTTCTTGATTGTCAGCAAACACTCGATTTACATTGAAATAGCAGCTATGATTAATAAGACTGCTAAATGGTAAAAAAATTGATCCAATGTCCAACTCTCCGCAAACATTTTTGCATTCTTCAAAAGACGAACAATTGCAATTTGAACCTTGAAACTNTTTGGATCATCCTATAATCTACATATTTCTGCAATATTTTTTATAATGCAACTCGATAGTGATCGAGTTAATCAGCTTTGTTTGCCCAAACAAAATATTTATAGCATTCTTCAAAAGACGAACAATTGCAATTTGAACCTTGAAACTAACATATTTTAATTGATAAGTAGAATAATAATAAATATTTTGTCATTTCATTGATTTTTTTTTTATTTCAAGATATCCTAGTTTATGATTTTTTGTAGGATTAAAATTGCAAACAAAATTAATTGAATAAAATAAAAATATCAATCGCACCTTGTAAATGTTGCTGTCCAATATGAGTACTAATTTGTAGATTATTTCGTTTGCTACGAATAATTTGGTTTCATTAAATGATTCTAGGCTGCTGTAGCTGATGTTGCTGTCGAAAATATTTGTGAAATTCGAAAGCAACTCTAAAGTGTTGGTTATGAATTTAGTTAAGATCTCTTTTTCCGTTATCGGACGCTCATTGTACGACAAATTTAAGATAGTTTTTAATTTTTGACTTTGGAAAACACCATTATCGAAGAATCCCTGTAAAAACTCGTCTATAAAAAGTTTAGAGCGCATGCATTGTTTAAAGGTACACACGATAAAATAACAAACCTTTACTCTGCAGACGATTGATCTCGTGTACGTCTTGTATTATAGTGTCCAGACCTTCCTTCTTAACCGATTTAATGAATAATCGAATTGCTGCCATAAACGTCGTCAAATTGTACTCTTGCCTGTAGTCAGCATACATGAGGAAAGGAAGAACAATACACTCGACGTCGTGATACTGCAGCCAAGCTTCCTTCCTACACTTTTTCGAACAGTACATGGCCACTGCACAAGATTCACAAGGTATTCCATTGCACACGAACGTCAAGCAGTGGGAGCAAACCAAGTAGGTCTTGTCGCCCTTAGCAAACTGAACGGAGCTTTTCTCAATGATGACAACCTGTCCTGGCTCTATGTCCTTGGTGGCTACCAAGTGCCTCCCGTACTTTTTATTGTAGGCCAGAGTGACACAGTCACAGGCGCAGGGGATGGTCTTGGACCGCTCGCCGGCCGCGTAAGACTCGATACTTTTGACTTCATTGTTGTCATCGACCGAAGGGTGATCTTTCTCGTCAGTACTAGTGTCCATGAGGTTCGTACACTTCATTTTTCGAACCAGAAGCTTCATCTTCAGCTCGTCCGACTTGGTGATCTGGTGGGCCCTTTCAATGTCAACTAGACATTCTTCGTATTTGCGCAAATGCCGCAGCAAAGCTGATCTGTTGGAGTAAGCTAGGGCCAGTTCTTCGGAGCCACTTTTAGCCAGAGCCACACTTTCAGAGTAGTGGGACAGAATCTCGAGGTGCATTTTCTTGTCGTGGTGATTACTTGTGTAAAGTTTGTTGCCCTTTTGACGAGCCGCTGTTGATGCTTCCGCAGACTTTTGTCGCACATGCTGGATGTGCTTATTTTCATAGCTATCATCTTCGACACAACAATCAATATCAAACCAATCCATACTGACTGCGTCTCTAGTGATCAATAAGAAGTAATTTATTTAACTGAAATAGTTGGCATTGTACGTATTTTTATTGAGTTATTGCTTTATTATGTATTTATTAGTGAGTAACATACAACAGAATTTTTGGTACTTACTCTGTTCAGCTTAGAGGTGTAAATAAATATGAGAATTAGAGGTCACAAGTACAGTTATAATTAATCTGCAGTGTAAGTAGTGCATTATTAGATAATACCAGAGATAATATAATTAGGGTATGCATTTGCGCCGCATAATATATTAATATAAGTACGGCTCGTTTGACACTATTCGCTCCGAGCCGATGCAGAGGTTGCGCTCCCTCTAGCCGAAATCAGGCAAAATTTCTTGCATGTAAACAAACGGTTTAGAACATATATACATACGTATATATGTATATATGTTCTAAACCGTTTGTTTACATGCAAGAAATGTTGCCTGATTTTGGCAAGAGGGGGCGCAACCTCTGTATTGGCTCGGAGCGAATAGTTTTGTTCGGCTTAGCGATTCGCAGCAGCCCGGGGCCCGGGGTACTCGCGTACTCGCGTTCTGTACAAATATATCACAAGAGAGTCGTAGCTATATATATATACATTTCCACAGCATGAGGGGCCCCTGCCCCCTGGACGCTCCGAGTCGCTAGGGCGAACATACCTACCCAATTTTGGCCCGATAGTGCACTATGTATGATTACATCATACATGTTGGTCCACATGAATGTTATTGTTTATTAGTTTTTTTTTTTTTTTTTTTTTTTTTTTTTTCAACCACAATTTAGCTTTGAGTATTGAGTATATTATTGAGTTTATATTAAGTATAACACATATATATATAGAAGAAATCAACACTTGTAGAAAATAATTAAAAGAAGTGATCGACGCACTCTGCGCTGCACAATGCACAACTGCCGTTTATAATACTATTAAGTACAAGGTAAGTAAGTATATACTAATTTAATTCTAATATTTGTTACTGTTATTGGTGCACTGTGAAACTCTAGAGTAAGTAGTGTAAGCAGGTTCATTATCTCTGAAAGTGAGCAAGTAATAACTTTTGAATTGTTTCTTCCATATTTTCCACATCTTTCGACATAAATACGTTTGAAATCGTTAAAAATAGTTAAATCGTGTCAACACACAGAAACCGTCATCTCCTCAGTAATCATAAATACGCATACTTATTTACTATACTGAAACGAAAAGAAAATTCAAAGCACTAATTACCGCTTACATTGTTCGTAAGCATCTAAGTGATCGAGTTAATCAGCTTTGTTTGCCCAAACAAAATATTTATACGTGTATACTTGCATTCCGACACGCTGAAAATTAATTGAATTTATAGTCATTTTGTGCAAAGGTACACGACCTTGATGATTTCACTTTGCTTCAAACAATTTTATCCATATTTTGTACTACCCCGCAAGCTAACTACGTTGACAAAAATGCGATTCATCTCTAACGCGTTTTGAAAATTACGCAGAATAAAAAAATAATATGTTTCTCTGACGATAAGTAAGGCCCCCTGACTGATGGTGCCGTAGTGCCACGCTTTACCGACCGAGTGACTCTATGATCATATATCGGCGACGACGCCGCGCCGTCAAAAAAAAAAACATGCGTCATTCACTGCCACGCCGATATACACTTGTTGCTCGTGTGTAGTACGAACCGCTCTTCTCTTCTCTGTTGTTTGACCAGTTCAGCGTTCAGCCTAGCATCGAGCGTGATAACGAGCATTTTTGTCAAAAACGACTTTGTTCTGTAGTAATACTAGGTACATATTTCCACGGATTTTCACCTCAAAACAAGCGAAGGTACGTAACGTCGCAATTGTGTTGATTAAGGGGACTGTTTTTTTTTTTTTTGAAGTACTTACTTAAGAACTAGTTTATAAAAAACGCGATGGGGCGGAGAAAAAGCCGGTGATCACTCGACAGATGATGGGTACAAAAAATGTAAGTAGGTCGTTTGGGCGTTTCTCGTGTGTGTGTGTGCGCTATGCACGTGTGTATCGGATCCTTGCCTTTAATGGTGTATAGGATGCCGGTAGGCTTTTCTTCTTTTTTATATAGACTTTTCGCGTTGAGATTTTTCATGAATGAGATCCGTTCCCTTGTGCCACTTTCAAAATTCAATTGCGATTTCATTATGTTTACAACAAATACTTTGATAATGTCAATGCTCAGGTGTAGGAACGTTTTATTTGACGAGCAAAATTTTTTTGTACAAGTACCGGGATAGACAAAGAGTTTTTTTAGGCGTCCAGTCCGGAAAGATTTTTTTCGTCAAAGTAAACCACGTATGCCATATGTTAGGTACTTTTTTCTTTATCAGTTTTGAGTGAAAGTTAGTTTGTACTCGTCGCGAAAACTAAGTTGCCTTGGAAGATAAAAATTTTGATGATAAGGCGTCGATTTGAAGAATTTCTTATCTCCATTTATAGAAACCATTGATAATAAATGCGTGTGCAGTGAAGTCACTTCTTTCTTTTGAAAAATTCTACCTTGCTGAGTTTAGGTATTTATTAAACATGGTAATTGTGAACTGTGAACAATACCTTTTGTTCAATATTGTATATGTGTACCGTTATGGATGGAGAAGCCTATTTTAGACAAATATTAACGCTTGATATTTTGATAATTATTGCACAATAGTTCGGTTTCCACGTCAATAAAATGTTGAATAAATAAGATAAGCTTGTGTACAAACATAGGAATACTTATTAAAAAAAAAAAAAAAATTATTTCAAATGATAAAACGAGTTGTTCAAAGTAAATTGAGAATATTGATAAAATATTTTATAAGTTCTCAAGCACCTTCTGTACGATTTTTAAAACTTTCACTGTAAAGTTGTACTTGTATGTTGATAGCTAATTTCTTAACGAGATTCACATATTATTTTGCAGAAACATGACATCCTACAAAGTGTCTTACTTTGATATCACTGCTCTTGGCGAGCCCATTAGGTTCCTTCTCAGCTATGGAGGCGTTGATTTCGTTGACGATCGTGTGAAGATGGACGAGTGGCCAAAAATCAAGCCTAGTACGTTTTATTTATTTGTGTTAGCTCATTTTTCATTATTTAACAATGATATCCCGTTTCAGCTACACCTTTTGGTCAGATGCCTGTTCTTGAAGTAGATGGCAAAAAAGTCTGCCAATCGACTGCTATCTGTCGTTACTTAGCCAAGCAATTCGGTTTAGCTGGAAAAGACGATTGGGAAAATCTTGAGATTGATGCTGCTGTTGATACAATTCACGATCTCCGTGCCAGTGAGTATTGTTTCATTAATTGCCATTATAACGTTGGAATTGTTTGACCATTAGTATGAAAATTAAACGTAATTTTTTTTTACACAGAAATCGCCGCTGGACACTACGAAAGTAATGAAGAAGCTAAGAAACAGAAACTTGAGGCTGCCAAGGAACTCGTTCCTTTCTACCTTGAGCGTCTGGATGAGCAGGTGAAAAAGAACGGTGGCTACTTTGTTGGTGGAAAACTCACTTGGGCTGATCTTTTTTTCGTTGCTCTTCTTGATTACTTGAATTACATGGCCAAGTACGACATTCTTGAAAAATACGACAGTCTGAAAAAATTGGAGGAAAAAATTCACCAAGAGCCAAAGATCAAAGCATGGTTGGCCAAACGACCCAAAACCGACTTGTAAAATTGTCAATATTAGTTCAATATACAAGTTATTTTTATATGAAAGTTATTAAATATTCCAACAGTGTTCTTCTTAAAGTTTAAATGTAATTTAAACCGAATAGATGAAGCTATTTTTTCCTGGTACTCGCTTGCACACTTGTGAATTGTGTAATTTTTTACGAATAAAAATCTTATGACAGTTTAAATCATCTTTTTTAAAAATTTTATCATTCCTAATGATTAATATACTTAAAATAAGTTAAGGTAGAAAGTGGAGAGAAATAATAACAGCATGACCATTTGTCATACATGTAGTTTTTTTACATGGACCAAGAAGTGCATTGACATAAAATATTTTTGTTTACAAGGTTAAATATTGTTGAGCTTCGCCAAAAATAAGACATAGTAATAGTATACAAAAAACATAACAAGAATAATGAAAAATGTTTTTGGTCCTCGGGCTAAAAGTTGTACCTATTTAGCAAATGTCGCTGCAATCTCTGTTGAAACCCCTTGTTATCCAATAAGCCACGCATATATGGCAGTCTTGACTTGTATTCTATAGCGTCTAGGGTAACCCCTGACTTCATCACCAATTTTAACTGTAGGTATTACCAGGCCAGTTTCCTATAATCTACGTGATAGCCGAGTTATTTATAAGTTAAAAGCTTTGTGCCATAAATCACCAACTTGATTGTTTCCTTTCGTATTTACAATGCCTCTAAGGCTGTGGCCAACTTTTGGCCTGAAAACATAAAAATTCGCTTCACGGTCCATTTGTATGTAATGTGTTTTACGAATAATGACATTCATTGGCATTTCGACCTTAGGATTTTCGTAAGCCAATACCATACCTCTTAATTCAGGATCGTAAATATTTCAAGTTCATATTAACGTATTGGCTTATTACGATTTTTAAGTGAAATAAGTTACAGGGTAGAAGCTTCAGGTGCTTTGTATAAATCGTTCCTTGTAAACGTGCGAGTCCTTGTCCTTGAGCAGATCCGAAATCTCAATACTCGTCCAGGTAATTCCTGAAGTTGGTCCTTAGACTCATTGTTAACAGTTTACGGACGACGACTCTCAAAAATACCTAAATAAGTAGATAAGGGCAAATATCATCAGTTTACTAAACGTACTTTACACTGTTGTTTCATCGAGTTAACATATTTGCCACTCTTACGTGACCACTTTATTTTAATGTCTAATAGTGTAATTATTTTTAGCAAGGAATTTTTAAATTACTTTAAATCCGCCTTTAAATCGCCACCAGAGAGAGAGAGAGAGAGAGAGAAGTGCTATCAATGGGCAAGTTTTCATTATCATATTATCCACCACAAATGTCGCTGCGACGCTGCTACTTTTGAAACGCAATAGAAACTACTCTTTACTGCGGTGCGTCGGGGTTACCTTTGTTTCTTTCGTTCGATTTGCACCGGCAGAGTACCTCGAGGGTCATTGAAATCCTTTACTAAAAATTTAAAAGTTTATAAATTCAGAGGAGTGATGAATTCTAGATTTTTTTTAAGCACACATTTGTCTACTACAATTATTAATTCATCAGATATTATTTATGAAGAAAACGTTACTGTTACTAGGAGGCAAGTGAGTTGATGCCAGACACAATGAAAACCAAAAACTTGTAAAATGAGACTTTTTTGTTAAAAGGAATTTTTTTAAAAATTCTTTTATTTGTCATTTTTCGTAACAAAGTGAAGAAATACTTGGTAATTATAGTTTAACAAAAAAAAAAATTTCTCTCAAGTTTTTTTAGTTTTCCTATAAAAAATATTTATAATACATATCATGAATTAATTATGTTGTTTCAATTTTTTAATGGCTTTTTCTGTACGAACGTATGATTGAAAGTTTGTGTTTAAGTTGGAATATGGCTACAGTATCCAAAAACAATGGTTCCATTTTTAGTATCGTTTATTATTGAATTGGTCGTTTTGTTACAGATTTTTTAATTGTTTATTTAAAAACAAATTAAAAATAGTTGAAAATCTACTTTACCATTCACCTGATTAATACATACTATGCCGGTGAAGTAACTGGTATAAAATATTTATTATTATTAGTACAGACGAGATGTTTTGTAATAAACACTTTTTTACGATAGTAATTTCTTATCTCAGTAAATCATTTATTTTGTGCAAAAACGACTTTGTTCTGTAGTAATACTAGGTACATATTTCCACGGATTTTCACCTCAAAACAAGCGAAGGTACGTAACGTCGCAATTGTGTTGATTAAGGGGACTGTTTTTTTTTTTTTTGAAGTACTTACTTAAGAACTAGTTTATAAAAAACGCGATGGGGCGGAGAAAAAGCCGGTGATCACTCGACAGATGATGGGTACAAAAAATGTAAGTAGGTCGTTTGGGCGTTTCTCGTGTGTGTGTGTGCGCTATGCACGTGTGTATCGGATCCTTGCCTTTAATGGTGTATAGGATGCCGGTAGGCTTTTCTTCTTTTTTATATAGACTTTTCGCGTTGAGATTTTTCATGAATGAGATCCGTTCCCTTGTGCCACTTTCAAAATTCAATTGCGATTTCATTATGTTTACAACAAATACTTTGATAATGTCAATGCTCAGGTGTAGGAACGTTTTATTTGACGAGCAAAATTTTTTTGTACAAGTACCGGGATAGACAAAGAGTTTTTTTAGGCGTCCAGTCCGGAAAGATTTTTTTCGTCAAAGTAAACCACGTATGCCATATGTTAGGTACTTTTTTCTTTATCAGTTTNTTAGTGAAATTTAAAAAAGGATTGTGTATTTACTAAAATTTAAGTACATTTTTTTAACGAGAACTTCTTTTTAAATAATAACAGTTCTATAATGTGAATTGTACAAATTTAATAAATTTACACATCAGCCAGCATAAAATAAAAAATTTTTAAAAATAATAAAAGAAAAGTAAAAATAAAATTAAATAATAATTTGTATCTATAATTGAAGAATGTTCAAAATCACAATTGTACTTGGTAAGTTTTAAAATCTATTGTTTTGCTATTTGCTGGTAGCAATGAAAAAAAAAAAAAAAAAATTCAACAGTCACTAGGTATTTCAGAAACTTTAATACCAAACTTTTTTTCGAAATACATTGACATCCAAACCCCATATCTAAAATTATGCTTAAAAGCTACATAGGCAGGTAAAGTCTTGGAAATTGCTTTCATAATTTTTACCACTTTATTTAGGATAGATTTACTATATATTCGATCTTCTTTTTTTCCCAGACAAACTGAACAAAAGACAAATTGTATGTCCTCAATTTTCTGAAGTTCCGATTTGAATTCAGGATTGTTAACACTTTGGATCATCTAAAATTTAAGATATTTCTGCAATATTTTTTATAATGCAACTCGATTAACAGGTACATACAAATAAGGTGTAAAAAAAGAATATTTTCATGTTGAAAATTGTAGAATTTAAATTATGTGAAATGCAGGTATAAGTATAACTGTCATATATCATCGAGTAAAATCTGAGTTGACTAAAGCAATGAAATAGCCAATATAAAAACTATTCCTGTCTTTTATTGTGTATAGCATTGCTGTTAACACATTTTTAAACCACACTCTGTGTATTTTATTGTAAAATATTATTTTAAAAATAAACTAACTTACCATATCCAACTCCAAATCGATTGTCCAGTTTTCTGTACATGCTATGCAATCACAGATAAAGAAATGCTGCGATTTCCCTATCAACTCTTGTCTTTTCCTTTTTTCCAGCAGCATTGTAGGACCATAAGTAATGAATAGCTGGAATTTTTCAATAAAAATATATGTGTCTACTTAGGTGACAGAACTTTTTTCATCGCCAATTTTTTAGCAGAACACCCCATTTTTCAATTTACAAATAAATTTTCTGATAAGCTGGTGGGTAATACATTTTGAAAATTTGATGATAAAGAGTGTAAAGCTGCCATTGTAAAGTGTTATGGTACTTAATGTACCTAGATTTATTGACATACGTTATTACCTGTTCTCCTTTCTCTATGGGTCGTACAGCATAAAGGATCATTTGTTGATTTTTAGTTACCATTCGTTCAACGTTGTAGGAACAACTATGATTAAGGAGACTACAAAACGATAATAAGATAACCCCAATATCTAAATCTGTGCATGTGGTCATGCATTCTTCTATGGATAGACATTTGCATTTTCTACCTTCAAACTAAGCGTTGAATTAGAAAGAATTAAAAGTAATTATTTGTAGAAAATGATTTCTTTTTTTATTGTACCTGGTAACTGTTAAAGTCTGAAATGTGTTTTAATTTATAAAACATTTAATGCGACAAAAATATCTTCACTTTATCCAAATATTTTGGATCGATGGAATCAAATATGCCTGTGAACTTTGTTAACAAGTCTACAATCTCTTCCATGCAGTGGATCAAATATGATTTCTTAATTTCACCTCCTATTGCTTTGTTTGCAAGATATCAAATTAAATATGGTTTTGAATTTGTTGCTTTGGAACAACCCATCATGAAAAAATCCTTGGACACATTCCCCTTGAAATAATTAGTCGATTTCAATCATTTGTAGGTACAGAAAATAAAAAAGATCATGAGTTATATTTAAGGAGACAAAAACCTTTTCTTTGCAAATCGTAAATCTCGTTTGCAACCTTAACAACAGTAAGTAAACCTTCCCTTTTGACTGATATGATAAATAATCTAACAGCTACCGTTAATGATATTAAATTCAGCTCATTATTAACCCACATCACAACGGGAAGCACTGCACACTCGATATCGTGATACTGCAGCCAAGCCTCATCCCTGCACTTTTCCGAGCAATAAATCACCACAGCACAAGATGTACACGGTATTCCATTGCAGGCAAACATCAAACAGTGGGAACAATTTAGATATATCTTATTACTATTGGGAAAAAGCACCGAACCTTTCTCAATGGCCACTACTTGCCCAGGATCTATATCTTTGGTGGCTATGACATGTCACCCGTATTTTTCGTTGTAAGCCAGAGTAACGCAGTCATAGGCGCAGGGGATGGTCTTGGACCTCTCGCCAACTGCGTAAGACTCGATAGTTTCAATTTCGTTGTTCTTGTCATTGACTTGAAGGTGGGTTTTGTCATCCATCAACTTCATGCACTTCATCTTGCGAGTCATGAGCTTCAACTTTAGCTCTTCCGACTTTGTGATTTGGTGGGCTCTTTCAATGTCAAC